AGGGTTTAGGGTTTGACTCAATTCATGCCATTCCACTGGACGTCACCTCAACTCAATTTTGTGGCCTATCTCCACTCACTAGACTTTGTCTAACAATAACTAAAGGTTGAACAAAATTTAAGGAGTTTGATGAGAAATTCATTGGAAACATGAAGTTCTGAGACAAATCTAATATACCGATCCATCTTTTTCCTATGTAATAATGACAACCAACTTTTGGTGACCTATATATTACATTCCGAGTGTGAAGAGCAATATTATTGGTCTTGGTCAAATGACAGAAGAAGGTAGTATAATGGAGTTAGTCGGCTCATTTCTCAAGTTCTTTGACAAAAATGGAGCCCGGTTGATTAAGATAAAATTGTCACGAAACCACCTGTCTAAGGTACTAATGAAACACCATTAAAATTTTTCAAAAACCTCCATTGGCACTATCATTGGCATCAAGAAAGGGAAGAAGAAACTATCATTGGCATCAAGAAAGGGAAGAAGAAACCAATGAGTTGGGAGAAGAAGAAACTAAAGACTACGAGGCTACGATGATCCATGAAGAGCAACTTATAAGTCAATGTACTCCATCAAACTTATTATGTCAACCAAGGAGGCTTAGAAGAAAGGCTACTAGCATTTTCTTTTTTTAAAAAAAAAAAAAACATCAAACTTGTCATCTCAACCAAATAAGCCACCAAAAACAAAACAAGAGTCCAGTATTAAAAGGGGTGACAATTACCAATTTCTTTGCGCCATTTCTATTGAATATCTAGTTTGTTCATCCAACTTTCTTGAGATGGATGGTTTCCACAAAAATTCTAACGAACTTATACTATGGGAATGCAGAGTTGAAAGACAAGCAATATCTTACAAGAGGATAAAATTCCTATGCATAATAGAGAAGCAAAAGAAATTTCATGATGCACAATTAAATTTCTTATAAAGAAGACAAAGTTGATTAGGGATGAAGCAACATTGACACGGTAAAGCAACATGCATATATACTCAACAAGGCTCTAGCCAAGATTAAACTTTACAGGCATGCGATTGTTATTTAGAATGAGAATCTCGAGCCAAGTCAAGCTTAGGAGAGAAAATGTGAATCAATAAATTTGATTTAATAAAAATAGTTATTCACTTAAGTAAGTTTAAAAAAAATGGTTAGTGATTTATTTAAGAGAATTGTTAAGGTTCATAAATTGCAGAGAAAGTTTAAGAAAATAGATAGTTATTTACATAGGAGAATTGTATGTGGTTTTTAACTTGAGAAAGTTTACAAAATTTGTTAGTGTTTTTCTCCATCTAGATACTGATTAGATATTAATAACAATAAGAATTGAAAACTATAGTGGTTAAGATTTTGGGTAAAAAAAAACTCTTCTCTCAAGATGTTCTTTCTCCTTCAATTATTTGTTTTGGTGTACTTTAATGTTGATTGCCATATCATCGTTGGAGAAAGGAGTAAAGAATTTAAGATGTCTTAAAGCGAATAAGAGTTTTGCAAGTCGGCTCAACTGCTCTAATTCAACTCAAATTGCAAGTTTTTTTAATAGGATTTACCTCAATTTCAGAACATATAGAATAGCGTATAGAATGCCGTAGATGAAATTGAAGCACTATAAGCATGAGCTTGAGGTAAAAATAGCTAAGGAAAGTTTAGAGATGTTCAATTAGGTCAAAAATAATAAATGAACGTACCGTTGGAACATTTACGAATTAGGTGGGATGAATTCATTGTTGCTTAAGTCTCACGTATCCTGTAGCATTTCTACGTGATATTATTTTATTTTATGAAATCTTAATGAATTTCATGACGCATATTCTTTTTGTTTGTTGATCATGCTTACTATATTGATATTATTATGTTTATGCCCGGGAATGAAATATCGTTAATATGTATTTACGTCTCATAGGGAATACATGTCTTGATAAGTATGAAAGTATTATGTGCATTATTTTACTATACAATGATTTTTAATGCAGACGCCAAGCATGTTGTATGTCACACAAGCATGAATTAGTTATCCAATACGTTATGTAGAGACGTGTACACCACAATATTATGCACATTCGTTTCTTTTTTGTTAGTTTTTGGCAATATGAGTGTTCACTAGCTCATAACTAAGTCAGGTAGTACTATACGAGCTTGCCTAGTGGACTCATATAAGGTGTGTGTAAAGAAGTACTATGCATGCATCCCCACCCGAAAATAAAAATAGATCCCAAGGAACAACCACGAAAGGTGTGAACAAATAAAAATATGAGTGCAAATGATAGGAACATCAATTCTCTAAATCGATATGATACCATCCACTTTGAACATAAGTTTTTATGATTTCCTTTTAGTTTCCTCAAAAGATCTCATACCAATGGAGATAGTGTCCATCGTTTTTATGTTAGGATCCGCACAACAACACATACTCGATGTAGATGAACACAAAGAACATGAGAGAGAAAATGTAAGGAGAAATATTGGTGAGAGGTTTATATTAATGACTTCCGGTAACAAGGACATTTTCAAAACAGTCTAATGAGAACGATTCAGTTTAATATATATAACTTTACCACATATAATCATCTACTATATATTTATATATATATATATATATATATAGCTATCTACCATATATAGTTTTTACTGTATATAATTCTTGACGATGTCTAATATGAAATATAACATTAATATATATTATCATTCATTATGCTATAAATAAGCTGCAAATTATATAACCTAACATTATATACCTAAATCTTCCCCCTCATCCGCTAATGTGGAATCCAACGTGCAATGTAAATCATGTAATGGCACATAAACTGACCGCTAAACACATAAGTAGGTTTACGATAAATTTAACATTTTTAAGTAAACATACAATCTTGTGAACTAATGGAAAAGAGGTTTAGTACTGTGAAGGGTCTCAACGTCACAGTACTTGTAAGGCTTACAGTAAACAACTTCTTGGACTTCGATTCTGCTTATTCGAATATAGGTGTTACCTGTACCTTAGTAATACCAAACAAGTTTTTTCGACATAAACCTTGTAGAGTCACGAACGTCTCACGACACAAAGAATCTCACTGACTAATATTCTCAAGAAATTATTTTTGATCTGCAAAATCAGAGAGAGATCACCATCGTACACCCATCTTGCTCTGATACGAGATTGTTGAACACACCTCTTTGTGGAAAACACTAGCACTCTTTGTAAAGATAAACAAAAAATATATTACAAATAAAACACTCTCTGGAAAACACTAGCACTCTTTGTAAAGATAAACCAAGAATATATTACAAATATTTTGTTTTACTTTGATTACTTGGGACTTCTTGAGGTGAAAACCTCACCGATGTGATGAGGCATTTATAGTAGAAACTAGACAATTTATTCTTAAAATATTTAACTATTATTACTAAATTACCTAAATCCTTTACCTATAATACCTAAATAATTTTCCCAAAATATGTAAGTATCTTTATTCCTAAAGTACCTAAATAATTTTCGTAATTTATATAGACAATAGACTAGTACAATTATTAGGCTTGATCCTATTGGACTAGTGATGATCTTTTAACACATTACACTATAAACCCGCCTTGAGAGGGGACAAAGGACTACATGGGTAAACTAAAAACTTTACACAAATGTGTTCAAATAAAGCTATCAAACTGTCCTATAAGAAATGATGCCGAGGATTTTGTTAGTTGACTGCAATGCAAACTTACAAAGTATGAAAACAAAAAAGTTAGTTCAACCCTAAATAAGATAACTACGCAAAATTTTAAGGTATTTTATTTTAAATTAGTTTTATTTTCTTTTCTTTTGTTTTTGTCGTAGATGTTTTGACTCTTGAAAATTGGATGGTGATATTTTATCTAATTTATGGTTGTCACATAACAGAATATTTAATTTTAAAAACAAAAACATCTACTATTTTTTCATAACCAACTCAGTGAGTCTAAATTCCCTGCATTTATTCTAAGGTACTCAGGAGAGGTTAGACATTTGAATTTCTAACCTTTTTACATGTAATCTATTTTCATTGATTATGATTGATGTATTGATATGATCATATTTATGTCTTGGGAGACACCATGATGTACCCATGTATAAAATGAATCAATGAAATACCATGAATATGTACGTTGTATAAGAAATTTAGGTCATGGTAAGTATGAAAGTATTATGTGCATAATGTCAATGAAACTTTTTTTTTTTTTTTATGCGGGAGATCATGCATATTGTATGTCATATAATCATAGAATAGAAACTACGATATTATTTGTGTTCCTTTCATTCTTTTGGTTTTCGGCATTTGAGCATTCGCTAGCTCATAGTCAGACTTGAGAGGTATGCTAAAAGTTTTACGTGAATCGTGTATAAATAAATACTATGCATCCAACTCTACCCGAAAAAAGTAGTGCACAAGGAACAACCACAAACATTAAGTCTTACCGGTTATGGTACATGTTGTATGTGAATGAATTTTTCCCACTCCCTTGGTAAAGTCGCTTGAGGAGGCCACAAAAATGAAGTTGTTCACATATAGTTTTCCACACTTTTTGTTATATTTTAAATATCATGATCCTTGATTTTTCTATTAGAACATGTTTAAACCTTATTTTTAACTATGCTTTCACGGTGTTTGCATTATTTGGAAGATTGGAGTCCACGAAAGTTTTAAAGTTGAAAAGAAATTATTTCTTAAACATGTCATGACATACATGTACTAACAATTTTATTTTAAAAGAAAAACTGAGGTCATCGCAATTGATAGTGATGGTAGGTACTTGGTGATGGCAGTTGTGGTGAGTTGGTACATGAGCAGGACTATGACTATGTTCGATGACTATGACATTGAAGTTGGACTGTCTTGAATTTTGGAAGCTTCGATGTCATTTAAGCTGGACTGACTTTGTGGAATGTGACCATGGCGGTGGTGGTGATGGCGATGGTGGTGATGGAAATGGATGTCTGGCGAACCTCCTTGGGAGGGACTCTCTTGGCCACTTGGTGTAGGAGCAGGGCTATCTTGAATTTTGGAAGCTTCAATGTCATTTAAGCTGGACTGGCTTGGTGGGCTCTTACCATGGCGGCCGTGTTCGTGGTGGTGGTGGTGATGGAAATGGATATGGATGTCTCGCGAATCTCCTTGGGAGGGACTCTCTTGACCACTTGGTGTAGGAGCAGGGCTATCTTGAATTTTGGAAGCTTCAATGTCATTTAAGCTGGACTGGCTTGGTGGGCTCTTACCATGGCGGCCGTGTTCGTGGTGGTGATGATGGAAATGGATATGGATGTCGCGCGAATCTCCTTGGGAGGGACTCTCTTGACCACTTGGTGTAGGAGCAGGGCTATCTTGAATTTTGGAAGCTTCAATGTCATTTAAGCTGGACTGGCTTGGTGGGCTCTTACCATGGCGGCCGTGTTCGTGGTGGTGGTGGTGATGGAAATGGATATGGATGTCTCGCGAATCTCCTTGGGAGGGACTCTCTTGACCACTTGGTGTAGGAGCAGGGCTATCTTGAATTTTGGAAGCTTCAATGTCATTTAAGCTGGACTGGCTTGGTGGGCTCTTACCATGGCGGCCGTGTTCGTGGTGGTGGTGGTGATGGAAATGGATATGGATGTCTCGCGAATCTCCTTGGGAGGGACTCTCTTGACCACTTGGTGTAGGAGCAGGGCTATCTTGAATTTTGGAAGCTTCAATGTCATTTAAGCTGGACTGGCTTGGTGGGCTCTTACCATGGCGGCCGTGTTCGTGGTGGTGGTGGTGATGGAAATGGATATGGATGTCTCGCGAATCTCCTTGGGAGGGACTCTCTTGACCACTTGGTGTAGGAGCAGGGCTATCTTGAATTTTGGAAGCTTCAATGTCATTTAAGCTGGACTGGCTTGGTGGGCTCTTACCATGGCGGCCGTGTTCGTGGTGGTGGTGGTGATGGAAATGGATATGGATGTCTCGCGAATCTCCTTGGGAGGGACTCTCTTGACCACTTGGTGTAGGAGCAGGGCTATCTTGAATTTTGGAAGCTTCAATGTCATTTAAGCTTGACTGGCTTGGTGGGCTCTTACCATGGCGGCCGTGTTCGTGGTGGTGGTGGTGATGGAAATGGATATGGATGTCTCGCGAATCTCCTTGGGAGGGACTCTCTTGACCACTTGGTGTAGGAGCAGGGCTATCTTGAATTTTGGAAGCTTCAATGTCATTTAAGCTGGACTGGCTTGGTGGGCTCTTACCATGGCGGCCGTGTTCGTGGTGGTGGTGGTGATGGAAATGGATATGGATGTCTCGCGAATCTCCTTGGGAGGGACTCTCTTGACCACTTGGTGTAGGAGCAGGGCTATCTTGAATTTTGGAAGCTTCAATGTCATTTAAGCTGGACTGGCTTTGTGGGCTCTTACCATGGCGGCCGTGTTCGTGGTGGTGGTGGTGATGGAAATGGATATGGATGTCTCGCGAATCTCCTTGGGAGGGACTCTCTTGACCACTTGGTGTAGGAGCAGGGCTATCTTGAATTTTGGAAGCTTCAATGTCATTTAAGCTGGACTGGCTTTGTGGGATGTGACCATGGCGGTGGTGGTGGCGGTGGCGGTGGTGGTGATGGAAATGGATGTCTGGCGAACCTCCTTGGGAGGGACTCTCTTGACCACTTGGTGTAGGAGCAAGGCTATCTTGATATTCAGCGGCTTCGAAAACATTAATGCTGCAATAGAAGAGGAGTGCAATCACAAAAACACTTGTGGTAAGAGAACCCATTTTAATATGTTATGTAGTTCTAACGTTGAAGTGTAATATATATATAGACTCAAATATAATAATATGATTAAAAAATTCTAAGTTTAAAGTATATTATATGAGTAAAAGTTGAATAGTCTTGTCTCGAGGAATGCAAGTCAATATTGGTTAGATTTTTAACTTAGTTTGGATTTAGAAATAATGCACCAAACTCACATACCATATATACCATATATGACTTTCATTCTATACAAGAATTCTATATTTATTGTTTGAATTTAATTTGGTAAAAAAATAGGAATGGTAAGTGTAAAAAGTTGGGGTAACATGCATATGTAGAAAGGGCGAGCTGTGTCATGTTGGCGAGTTGTTTCATGGAGGAGTGAATTGTCTACGTTCAATTCGATGGGTTTAGAAGATATTCATGTGTTGAGTTTGATCGAGTAAAGAGGATTTTGAAATTCGACCAACTATTTGGATTGCAAGTTTTTTCAATTAAAACATCTATTCTTAAACCACGAACTCTATGTAACTATAAAGCATTGGGGTGGATTATTCGAATCATTTATTCCATTTTTCATTGGAGTAAAAGTGAAATGTGATGGGAAATGTAACGACTCGAAATTTTCTACTTAATTTAAGGTCGCTACTATATACGTATCATAAACATTGAATGCGGAACACTTCATTTAAATTCCATAAAACATAACCTTTATCTTAAAACACAGCCATAGACTTACGTGTTTCGAAAACATCTTTAAACCGACACAACAAAAGACTAAATAAAATGAATAAGAATTTAAGTTAAAAACATCCTATACTAGCCTAAGTCTAAGAAAATAAATACCATTGTCCTATGCATGTGCCATGGTCTCGAGTTGCGATTTCGTCGTCAGCCGTACAGGAATGCCTTACCTTTACGTGAAAAATGTAGTAGCACATGACTTGAGTATTTAAAGAAATACTCAGTAAGTGACTCCACTATTGGGGTTAAATGCAACAATCACATGCAATGAGATGACGGGACCTATCTTTCATTCCGTTTTCCCTACGGTGCTGTCCTAACAGGTAATTTTGGACGCATACCATATACTCTACACATAGCCCATACGTGCGAGTATGGGCTCACCAGCTTGTTCGCACACCGCTGGGCCACTTTTCTTATCCGGTGGGCATACTTTGGGAGCCCCTTAGGCCGGACACCCGCTAGAACAAGTAACCGTCACGGCAGCGCTATGCAAAGCATAACGATCGTTGTCCTGCCATTGGATATACGCGTCCGTACCCTCGTGATGGGATAGGGGTATCCCCCAAGTGCATGAGGTCCCAAAACTTTTCCATTTTCATTATCCTTTAATACATCCCCTCTAGCATTATGTACACATCATATCATTTTTCATATCGTTCATCATTCATATCATATCGTTTCTCATTTTTCAGTTCTCAAATCATACATAATTCTAACGGGTTATATTTCATGCCATTTATCGTAATTTCATGTTATTCATATCATGCTGTATACACACAATTTAACAGACCTAACATAACATTATATGCTTTTAACATAACATTTCATCATATACACAACATACCATGACATATTGCATCACAATGTATCATATCATAAACAAGTCATAACGTAAACACTTTGTAGTCATATCGTTCTCTAACTTATCACAGCCTTAACGTTCTTATACCTATCACAGACATATCATTACGTGAACGTGCCTTAGTCATATCATCACAAGAACGTATCCTAACGCTATCGTTCTATCAATCCTAACGCTATCGTTCTATCAATCTATCACAAACCTATCCCTTTCTACCCGTAACGTAACCGTATTCTTCCATCAATCTCTCTTATCCAAATCACTCCGGTATGTAACCTAACCTTAATGTTTCATGAACGTATTTCACTCCTATTGCTACATTTCGTTTTGAGCATCCTTCTCGTATCCTATCTCAAACATATCCTTGAACACATCGTACCGTAATTTTATCATACAATTCACCTATTGTAATGTATACATAACATACAAGAAGCATATCGATCCACAGACAATTCACACATATCAATATATATGACACGTGCAGAACCACGGGGAACGTATCAACATCGAATATAACCATGACGATTGTTGAAGGTGTTAATATAACACATGCGGAAGTAATTTGGATCTTAGGCACTCTAAGTACTTCAATTATAGTAAATTAGCTAACATGTTTAAAAGCATTAAAACTCAATGAGTTTGAATACTAACCTTTTGTCGCTCAAGTTTCTTTTTCCTCATAAACCGGTTTCGAACCACCACTAGTGTCTTCTCCACTATTCTCCGGCCTTAGAACGGGATTGTGGAATCCGGTGAGTGACTAAACTTGGGAGGGATTTTGTATATGAAGAGAGTGTTTGTCTCAAGGTTTTCCACCAGAAAGACCTTTCATGCACCATGATCACTCTATTTATAGAGTCATGTTTGCATGTTCATGCAAATTTGAGATCACCAAATTTTGACACTCGAAATTCCACTCAAATGTTTGGGATTATGGGACAAGCATGCATGTTTGAGTTAACCAAATTTTGACACTCAAAATTCCACTCAAACTTTTGGGGTTTATTTGGCAAGCATGCAAGTTTGGTTAAACCAAAATTTTGAAACTTCAAAATTCCACTGACATGGATTTTTCCATTAAAAGAAGTCAACATTTTGACTTTCTTCATTTTAATTCAACAATTAATTTGAATAATTAATTTTAAACTAAGGTAATATTAAATGATTAATTAAACTATTTAATTAATATTTAATATTAACTCAAAAGCCAATCCCAATCAATTCCGACACTTATTTGATTAAAATATTTAAAACTTATTTAAATATCTCAAATTCTCTCTTTTTGTTTAATTCGTAAATAAAACAAAAATGCGGTTAAATATATCGTATATATGTAGCGCATATTCCCTAATTTGAATTCAAACACTTCGAACTCACTCGTCACACTATTCTATTGTTTAGTCCGATATGAGCTAGCAGAGGGACCTAATGGACCTATAGATCATGGGCTCCAACGATCCAAGATTAACCGGTTAAACTCATTAACCTTGTTAATCAACAACACTCGTTAACTACTAGGACACTCTACTATAACCTTGTAGTTGCAATCCCCTCACTATAGATATATTTCTGTCCATTTGATATAACCATGATTAGTAAGTCGATTCTTCACAGGTTGTTCGTAATTAGAGTTGGGTCAATTTACCGTTTTACCCCTAAAGTTACTTCTTGTTCCTTATGTCTCACTGGTCCTCTAATGAACAATTGGTTTGTGGTCCAACCAGTAAACCGAATCCCTCTCAGGCCAATGAGAGGGTGGGGCACCTTGTTCAAGACCTGGAGTTAGTGCTTAAGGGACCTACCTCTCTTCTATCCCTAAAAGTGGGTAGGAGTGAATTCCATCTTGCACCCCACGTCCCCAGCCATTCACCCAGTCTTATCCCTAAAATGGGGGGCCTATTGAGTCGGCGAACTCGAGCCACTCTCACCCATGCAAATCTAAGGATAATTCCAAATAAACAGAAGTTCATGGTTAGCTCAGGATTAAAATCGAGTTACCTAGGTCATCGAATGAAAAGAAAATCAGTCTCAACAGTAAACGACATTATAAAGTGAGAGTGATTTTCTTCATGGTCCGATCTTATGCAATACTCATTGCATAGGACACCCACACTCACATGTCTCCACATATACAATTTAGTGATCACATAGTTTATGTGATATACAAGAGTGGGCCGCATCCATAGTGTCCCCAGGATAAGGTACTCAGTCTTATCCCCATACTATAGATCATTTTGACTATATACTTGAACTTGATCCACTCTTATGTCTCTACATATAGCTCAAGTAATCATACTATAGTCAGAGTGTTCTTAGTTTATTGGATTTAGATTAATAATCGTAAAAATTCACTTTATTCGATAACAATCTTTACTGAATAAACAACAATAATAACTTTATTGAAAATAGAATATATTTTTCGTTTACAAACTATGAGTTTTAGGACATAAAACCCAACAATAGTAAGGTCACTTACCTGGCTAGCTTAAGTCGTTATCACAAATATATCTTTAATGAAAGTTTGATTCTGTCCTTTGAAATCCGAGTCAACCTATGTGAGCCCATGACATCCGTTTCAAGTTTGGAATCTACAAAAGTATTTCTCTAATTTACATAGGTTCATTGTTAACGGTCTTGAAATGTTATATGTCTATAATTATATTTTTATTACAAATCTTATTTTTCATGGTTATTGTTTTATTAAAAAAAAAAAAAAGTAGATACGGCTATTTCAAGTTATTCTCGGTTTTACTACTCTCCGTATTTACCCTCTATATTTACGTTTGCCTTTTAAGTTTGTGGTTTTTAATTCCCTAATTTTTTTTCTTTCGGTTGCATTTTAATTCTGTTTTCATGTATTCCAAATTTAATTCTGTTTTCATGTATTCCAAATTTCTAGTTGATCTCTGTTTCCAAATCTTTCCTTGTTAAACCATTCTATCTTTAATCTATTCATTTGGCTACTGATAAAAATTTAATTTAATATTACTAATATGACAAAAATTTAATTTAATATTACTAATATGACAAAAATTTAATCTAATATTACTAATCTAACGTGATTTACTAGAAATGATTGGCGCTTAATTTCTAACTCAACGCTAGACCATTGTAATAATTCAACGAAAATATGAGTATAATTGGTTGTGATTTCTAAAAAAATATGATAAAAGAAAATGAAGATTTAATATATACGTTATTGATCAGATCTATCTCACTTAAATTTACCATGAATGGTAAAGGTCATTCTCATTTTTTTTTCTCTCAAGTAAATCTAATAATTATTGTTTTTCTTTTTCTTTTTGTAGTAACTGTTACTTTCTGCCGCAAGGACGGGTATAATTGTGGAAAGTGACGAGAGATTAATGGAGAGAAGTGGGAAAAGGTTGTTTTTTTTTTTAATTAATTAAT